GACATTCAAACACATGACTATATTCAGCCTGCTTTAAAAAAAAAAAACCTGCTTCTTGGAGAGAATAAGGAATAATTTTATCTTCCAACTAGGAATCTGAGTCTTATATGCCATTTAAAGAAAAAATTCATGAAGCCAGGTTGCTGACTTCAATAGAGGGCAATTTTTCATCAGCCAGGTCTGTCAAATCCATTTTATTTCACAAACTGGACAGCCGTATCTGTGTGTTCTCTGTCAGCCATAAGAAAATGGTATTCTTTTGATTGGTGGTATTGGGTTTTATTTTTGGATGTTCTCACTTTTTATCAAGGGTGAGGAAAAATATCTAGACAGTATTCAATATTTTTGAAAGCACATGATATTTACAAACGATAAGACCAGAATAAAACTTAAAGCATTTGGTATGAACCTCAGAACTAGCGGTGAGACAAAATGGAAGCACAGACAACAAATATTTACAGAGGGCCTATTATATGCCAGGGACTGGATTGGGATAAAGTGTCTTTTATAAGGGTCATCTCCGCTCGTCCCCACAAGCCCTACGAAATGGGTTCTCTTACCCCCATTTGAAAGGTAAGAAAACTGAGGTAGGTGAAAGGAGTGGCCAAAAGTGGCACAGAGGAGAAATGTAAGGAAACTAGGATTCAAGAGCAGGTCTGCAACTTCAACGCCCATGCTCTGAGTGGCTTACAATGAGGGCAAAAACCTGGAAATAATCTAAATGGCAACATAGGAATTGATTGAATCAATGGTAGCATATCCATACAAAGCAGTCACGGCAAAGGATGGTAAAGATCTATTTTTGACATGAAAAGATGTTAACATGTCAAATAAAAGGAGATTATAAACATAGAATATATGATCCTTTTTGACATATAAGTTGGTATGCATATTTGCATTAAAAGGTTATCACTGGGCGGCAGGACTTGACATAGGTTCTTTTTGACTTGTTTTTACTTTTTTTGGTTTTATTATTGAAGTTCTTTTTGCAAGCTAGGAGTAACAGAACACAATAAAGAATACCTATTCAAAACAAAGAAAAATATGTATTTGGGGGTTGCAGGGGAAATACTGGAGGCATCACCAACCAAGCTAGGCATAAGAAAATTACACCCATTGTCATTGCTATTATTCAACACCATTCTGGAGGCTCTAAAAAATTCTAAAGAAGCCGCCAAAAAGCTATAAATTAATAAGACCGTTCTATGGGCGCCCGGGTGGCTCAGTCAGTAAAGTGTCTGCTTTTGGCTCAGGTCATGATGCCGGGGTCCTGGGATCGAGTGCCGTGTCAGGCTCCTTGCTCAGTGGGGAATCTGCCTCCCCCTTTCCCTCTGCCGCTCCCCCTGCTTGTGCTCTCTCTCAAATAAATAAAATCTTTTTTAAAAAGACAGTTCTAACGAGATCCAATATAGATAGATCAAAGCTTTACAACGGCTTCAGGAGTTGGCAAACTTTTCCCTTACAGGTCAGAGGGTCAATATTGTAGGCTTGTGGGCCATGTGGTCTCTGTAGCAACTTCTCGACTCTGCCTAATACAAAAGCAGCCGTGAACAATGCCTAAGCGAATGGATGCACAGTCTCCCAATGAAACTTAGTTGTAAGAACAGGCAGTGAACTGGATTTGGCCCACAGGCCATAGTTTGCTGATCCCTACTTTATACCACCAAAAACAAACAAACAAAAAAACAACCAGTTGATGGAAAGACTTAGCAGCAAGAAAATATATAAAGACCTAGAAATAACTTTCTGAAGGGCGATTCAGCTGTATGTATACATCCAAAATTAAACTGTGACAACTCTTTCAATACAACAACTCCGTTTCTGGAATACACATGGCTCTTTATTACAGTGTTATATACACATCTATTGACATTATCCGTGTCTACGAGAAATACATCATTTTTAAAGCACGTGACAGTAGTATGCCTAATTTTAGCTAGGTTTTTTAAATAGATGGGTGTGCACATGAGGTTTTGCATATGTACCCACAAATGAAGAAAAAAACCCTGGAAAGACGTATACCCAACTGCTCCATTAGCAGTTATTTCTATGGGTGAATTTATGAGCAACTTTCTTACTTTTTGCATTTAATTTTTGTTTCTTTGTACTTTCCCAAATGAGCTTATAAGTAAAATTTTTCATTTTTAAAAGAAGCAAGCAAACAAAAAAACCCTGTGTGCCTCTCAACAATTTAGTCCTATTTCTACGAATGCTCAAGGATTTCATACACAGTGTCCTCAAGAAAAGCACATTGGTACTGATTTTCATTTTCACTTTAAGACATCACTGGGAGGGGTGCCTGGGTGGCTCAGTTGTTAAGCGTCTGCCTTCGGCTCAGGTCATGGTCCCAAGGTCCAGGGATCGAGCCCCGCATCAGGCTCCCTGCTCTGCGGGAAGCCCGCTTCTCCCTCTCCCACGCCCCCTGTTTTTTTGGTTTTTTTTTAAAGATTTTATTTATTTATTTGAGAGAGAGAGAATGAGAGATAGAGAGCATGAGAGGGAAGAGGGTCAGAGGGAGAAGCAGACTCCCCGCTGAGCAGGGAGCCCGATGCGGGACTCGATCCCGGGACTCCAGGATCAGGACCTGAGCCGAAGGCAGTCACTTAACCAACTGAGCCACCCAGGCGCCCCCACGCCCCCTGATTGTGCACTCTCTCTCTCTGTCAAATAAATAAATAAAATCTTAAAAAAAAAAAAAAAGACATCACTGGAAAGTGCTTTAAATTATTCTAACTCCTTCATGCCCTGAAGATAGAAATCTTCTGGCTCTAAATAATGGGTAAGGAGCATCTATTTGCAAATCTTATCTTTTTCTTATCCTTCAGTGACATTTCTACGGGCATGACTATGTGCATGCACATACATGCACCTGTGCACACATCTCTCTGTCTAGGAAGAAAAGCCAAAGAAGGGAAACCGGGAAATAGGCAAGAATGGTAAGTGAAGGACCAATGTGAGTTAATATCACACAGGGAAAGAATTATTAAATTCATTTCTCAAGGTCTTATCGTTCTATAGTATAGGAACCTCCCCCGTTGGGTTAGGGAAAAACTGACATTGTTGCATTCTTATTTCAAATTTATGAAACTTTTAAGTCCTCCTAGAAAATTTAAGTCCATATGATTTATATTGTGAAAGTTATGGATAAGTTGTGAAACTTAAGCACATTTTTCCTTACAACTGGCAATAGGTATCTAATCACTATGCCAATAGTTACAGTTGTTAAAACATATAAATTGAGACACTTAATTTTCATGTACTTAAAATCTTGGGAAAATGGAGATGGAGTAGAAAGAAAAATGATGGATTTTTCTAACTTCTCAGAAATTCTGGAGTTCAAAAGTCTCAAATATCCAAAACACAGAAAAAAAAAATTCAATGATGGAACAGAGAAAACATACCTTTTTCACTTCACATTTGATCCGAAAGTTTCTTGGAAAGATTATGTTTTCTAAAAGCTCTAGATCCTATTATTTTACACACTGGATGAAAAAGAAAAGCTTTAGATGGCCGAGTTAGGCAAATGCAATGCTCTAAACATCAGGCTACAGCACATTACTACCTCTTGCTAACAGAGAGAGCAGGAAGCTTCTTGTGCTAGATGAGTGCTCTCTCCCTGCCCAAGGATGTCTTCATCCCCATGCCCAGACCTGCGACTGTGTTTCCCTATATGGCAAAGGCACCTTGCAGGTGGGACTCAGTTAAGTATCTTGAGGTATAGAGTGATCAGGTCATAGAGCTGGGCCCTACCTCCGTAAGTAGAAGAGCCTTTTCATAAGAGAAAGAGAGAGGAGATGTGAGGAGGGAAGTCAGAGGTCAGCGTGGAGAGAGATCTGAAGATGCGACAGTGCTGGCTGTGAAGATGCGGCAGGGGCCATAAGCCAAGGAATAAAGGTGGCTTGCAGGAGCTGGAAAAGGCAAGGGCATGTATTCTCCCCTCGAGCCCCTGGAAGCCCTGCCAACTCATTTAGACTTCCAACCTCCAGAATTTTAGGATGATAAACTTGTGTTGTTTACAACCAAAGAGTTAAAAATAAGTAAATAAAATAAAGAAATAAAAAGAAATTCTTTTTAGGTGTTATGTGGCATAATTCAGTTATCAAAAAAAAAAACCTTCCTTTTTTAAAAGATTTTATTTATTTATTTATTTATTTGAGAGAGAGAGCACAAGCAGGGGGAGCAGCAGAGGGAGAGGGAGAAACAGGCTCTCTGCTGAGCAGGGAGCCTGATGGGGGCGCTCAATGCAGGGCTTGAACCCAGGACCCTGGGATCATGACCTGAGCCGAAGTCAGATGCTTCACCGACTGAGCCACTCAGGTGCCCCGAAACATACACATTTTTGCCTTCCCAAAACAGTTACCTTATCTGGCCTTACCATCTCCCTACTTCCATCCTGAAGTGCCTTCCTCCAATAGGTCAGTAAAAAATAGATCTAATGCGAACAGAAGTGCCTCTAGTAAAAGACTTTTCCAAGTTTTGAAGTGTGTGTGTATGCACGCACACATGTGTATGTGTCCATACGCATATGTGAGTATGTGTGTGTGAGCCTGTCATTACTACAGAGGACATGGGAGAAAAAAAGTCCCCCCCAGAGCCAAGTCAGAAGTTAACAGGAACAATATGACAAACACAAGGTCACCCAGAGTTCTCAAGAGACAATGAGGTGTTAAGTACATTTTGTAGCCATGAAAATCCAGGACGTAAATAAGCATGTGATGAGGTTTGCTCTGAACAGAATAAGTATACTTATATAAAATAACTTTCATTAACTATTCCTTTGTTACCAATCTCAAGGAAATGCTAGTTATCCTTCAGCAGAATTTACTATTAGCTAATGCAAACATAATGAAACCTCTGCTAGGCTTATATTTGAGATCTGGGAGACTGAAATCCCACAATTTTCCTTTCAATCTTCCATTTTAAAAAATCTTGGAAATGACTTTAATATAGTTAAAAAGTAAGCAGGTAAAGTGAGTCACCAAACCCCAGTAGAAACTTACCCTTCAACTTGAGGTCAACGTTATGTCTCAGCCAAGGGTAAACCCCATAGCTTGGCATATCTTCAGGAATCGGATTACTGTTTATCCAGCCATCACAAGCAAACCGGAAGAAATTATCACAAGGGTCCACAGAGAAATTTACCTTACTCAAGATGGCAGCAGCTATTTAAAAAGAAAATCATAGGATTAATGACAAGCACTGAACACTATGTACTGTTCTCTTCCAAATTAAACAACCATTTCCTATCAACCAGTTCCCAAGCCTTGGCTTTTACTTTTCCTCTCAAATGACTCCCTGAATCAACTTCACTATATTACATTACTGAATTCAGACTGAGTGGGATTCAGGTGAATGGTTTTCGCAGGACTGCCTCTGACATCTGCGCCGCATGGGATAGGAATACAAACGGAGTCTACGGTAAACTGTCTGCAAGGAGGTGTGCAACCTTTCCTTCTATCCCGCTCATCCTTCTGCAAGGTGATTTTGCAACTCAGCCCATCAAGCGATAGGATCTATTTTCCCTGCCTTGAATCTGGGTTGGCCTTGCGATTTGCTGTGACCAACAGAAGAGAGCAGAGCGACTTTTCTTGAGTTTCTTTTTTTTTAAGATTTTATTTATTTATTTGACAGAGAGAGAGAGAGCACAGGTAGGCAGAGCGGCAGGCAGAGGGAGAGGGAGAAGCGGACTCCCCGCCGAGCAGGGAGCCCGATGTGGGGCTCGATCCCAGGACCCTGGGATCATGACCCGAGCCGAAGGCAGACGCCCAACGACTGAGCCACCCAGGTGCCCCGTTGAGTTTCAAAACTAGGCCTTAAAAGGCCCTTGTACCTTCCATAGTAACTCCCTTTGATTGAAGCCCTAAGACAGCCCTTTGAAGAAGCCTCCTGGAGGAGGCGAGGCCACATGAAAAATAACCCAGTCAGCACCAAGTGCCAGACATGTGACTGAAGCCGTCATGGACCTTCCAGGTCAGATGATCCTTCAGCTGAACGCAGCCGTATGAATGAGCCTAGGCAAGAGCAGCAGAGGAACCCCTGATGAACCCACAGAAGAAGAAGAAATATTAAACCACTCATGTTTCAAGCCTCTAAGATTTGAGGGTAGTTTGTTCCACAGCATAAGCTGAGTGAAACAGAGGACTGTAAGTCATACTGAAATATATAAAGGATATATTTACAATATACCTCCACAAAGACCTGGAAAGCCAGGTATGAATTCCTGAGCCCCTGGACGTTTAGTGTAGCTCTCAGAGGAATGAACCCCCGGAAGAGACCCCCACAGGCCCTGCAGAGAGGCTCTGGGCCATTTAGCAGGGAATTCGGGCTTATAAAAGGATATGGCTGCTGACCTGGCCCCTGGACTATGGGAGAGGCATGGCCAGAGGAGGGCAAAGTGGGCATGGGGCCCAGGGCAAGGGCCCCTCTTGCCCAGGTCTCAGGGCAGAACTGAGTATGTATATAAGTTAACAGAAAAACACAACAGACTGATTTACTTTTTCTTCCTCTTTCATAAGCCCACACACAATTACATATGCAACACAGTCAACAAGGAGGAAGTTTGTGCATACTTAATATATAACCATGAGCTTTAAAAAACCTTTCATTAAAAAATGAGGTTCTTGGGGCATCTGGTGGCTCAGTTGAGTATCTGCCTTCGGCTCAGGTCATGATTGCAGGGTCTTGGGATCGAGCCCCGCATTGGGCTCCCTGCTCGGCGGGGAGTCTGCTTCTCCCTCTCCCTGCTGCTCCCCCTTGCTCGTGCTCGCTGGTGCTCTAGCTCGTGCGCACTCTCCCTCAAATCATGAAATCTTTTTTAAAAAATGAGAAGGTTCCAAAATTCCTAATACTGAGCTCCAACTCTCTTCCAACTGTCATACAACTGCTGGCTACCACTCTAACACAAAGATTTGCACCAATTAAAAAAAAAAAAAAAGCAGCCAATATTTTAATGACATTGGAAAGATGACATTGCATAATTTTCATACATTAATTAATGCCAGAATATATTTATTTCAAGTAATAAAAACCCAATGAGTTTTCAGCTAAATACGAAGGAATTGCCAAAAAAAAGTATCATCTGCATATATTTATATATGCTGGTCATCAGTTTGGTTACATGTGTCCTCCAGGTTCAAAGCTAAGGCTAGATATTTTTCTAGCCTATACTTGCTATGCAAATTTTCAACAGCTTTTTGTCCTTCATAAAGTGAATGATATAGAAATATCCTAAGTTTCTACAGGACTTCAAAATCCCCAGCACTTTCCCCTTTCCAAAAAAAACCAAAGCAAAAAACTGGTTTAGAGGGGCACCTGGGTGGCTCAGTCGGTTAAGCATCCAACTCTTGATTTTGGCTCAGGTCATGATCTCAGGGGGAGATCATGGGAGACTGAGCCCCACATCAGGCTCCACACTGAGTGTGTAATCTGCTTCAGATTCTCGCTCTCCCTCTCCCCCGCCCCCCAACTTGTGCTCTATTAAAAAGTAAAATAAAAAACTGATTTTAGAAGTTTGATCAATTTAAAACTGGCTTAATATTTTCATCTTCGAGGATTCAGTGGTCTCCAATTATATTTTTACTTACTGCTGCCATTTTATCATATTAGTATGCAAATAAGCTAGGACATACCAAATCTTCATTTCAGTTTGTATTTATAATGATTCTGGCTGTGCAGCCACAGGACGAATCTGCTATGGGACACCCCAGGGGCAGTGATTATACAAGTGTCAGTGCCACACAATATTTACAGTCACACAGAAGAACCCTCACGTTTTTATTCACATAAGCGCACTGTCTTCTGGCCGCCTTCCCAAACCTCCCCCTGCCCCCAAACTAAAATGTGTCCTCTCCATCTCCTCAGTATTCTTGCAGGTACCAACAAAATCTGCAAGATCAGCTCTGACCTCAGCCTTGACAGAGTGGGGAAATACATCACTCACAGAGAATTTGGAAGTCAGCCCGCTAAGTGGGAAAACTAGTTTCAACCTCCCAACTCATCATTCATCGTTCACAGCTGGGCACAGGGCTGCACTTTCTGCAGAACTGAGACTTCAAATTGCAAGGGACCGTAGTTATCAAGACGCCACAACTCCTTTCCCCCTGTTCAGTTCCGTGGAGAAAACTCAAAGAGACTTGTTTTAATAAAGAAATATGATGATCAAAGAAACCTGTGAAAGGCCCAACTAGGTGTTCTCTCAAGTTACTGTGTATAAGGTCAGTGGTTATGTGGTCTCCTACTAGGGTTTACTTAGAGGTGCAGGCACCACACCCCATGTACCAGCCTGAGCTTTGAAGTGTAATCAGGGCTCAAGGGAGAGGGTGGTGTTAATAGTAAAATCATTAATATTGAGCCTTTCCTCTGTGCCAGGATCTATGCTAAGCCCTTTTCAGAAAGTACAGCATCATCTGGAGCCAGACCACCTGGATTTAAATGCCAGCAACACCATGCAAAAGCTATGTAACCTTGGGCAGGTTACTAAACCTCAGTTTCCTCATCTGTAACAAGGGATAATAATCGCAACCCACGGGAGCTTCATGAGAATTAAATGAGTAAATACACATGAAGTGTTTAGAACAGTGTCAGGCACACTGACAAATAAATATGGTTGCCAGATAAAATACAGAATGCTGAATAAAACTTGAATTTCATATCAATGGCAGCTTTTATAGTTTATGTACCAAATACTGCAGGGGACATATACAAAAATAATAGCAGCCTTATTGTCTATCTGTAATTCAAATTTAACTGAGCATCCTGAACATGTATGTACATAGCTAAAGCTGACAACCTTACATACAAATTTTTGCTATTACAATTCCACAAATACTTATCTGAAACTCTTAAGTTATTTTTCAGAGCTCATAAATTTTCAGATTTTAGAAAACTAATACAGTGCATAAACCACAGCAATGTCTGGAGTGGCACTCCTGAAGCAAGCACATTAATAGTTCCATAGGAAATATATGCATATTTTCCTAGGTGGGATAAACAAAGTCCACAACAGTCTAGTCTCTTGGAAGTTAAGATCTAGTTTTGCCATCACAACAATTGAAATCGGGTCCAGTCTTGCCAACTGACAGTTACGATGTTCTCTGGGTCTGGGGTCAAAAATCACACTGTGGACCTGGAATACTACTACAACTAGCACCATTATTTTCTTCTAGTCTCACACCTAGTATGCTAAGTAAGAACAGTATTCCCATTTTACAGATGATAAACAAGAGACTTAGGATGGTTATTCAATTAACCCAGGATCATGTGGCTTTTAAGTAGCCAGATCATGCTTCAAACCCAAGTCAGCCTGTCAGCCCTTATCCCTATTTAGCATGCCCTTCCCTTGTAATTTTTTCCACCTCTTATTTTGAAAGAGGGATTAGGAGAAGAGGAAATGGACAAGAGGAGGAAAAGAGAGCTATGGAGAGGAGGCATCTTACAAAGGGGTGGCACCTGCTCAGAAACGGTCCAGAGGGGATCAAACACTTCCACCTCCTGAGCTCCTATCCTGCATGACCAGGCATGCACACACACCCCCGCCCCCGCGCCGCACACGCACGCACACAGCCGCTGCGCGCTCCCCGCGCCTTTGCGCTGCTTTTCGTTTAAGACCTTCCCAGAGACATTTATGCGGTGACTACCTAACAGCTGTTCTGCAGGCCCCTAAGCACAGTGAGGCTCATGTTACCCAGAAGAGGATGTATCCTTGGTGAGTCTTCCATCACAGAAACAGAAAAATCAGTTTTTTTTTCAATATTAAAAAGCCATTCACCAACGTGAAAATTCAAAACGAAACAAGGCAAAACAGACTAGCTGGCAGGAGAAGACATTATCAAATGACATTCTGTAAGTCTTACTCTTGATTATGATTTGTAATAAAGAGAAAACTCATACGGTAAGTGGCTCTCCATACAAAAAGTTGCCTAAACGCAAATTAAAAATGTTTTAGTTCAAAAAAATCTCATTTTCACACATCTGCAAGGACCCAACCACAGCAAAATCACAAGGTGACATGAAGTCTAAACCGTGACCTGTTGACAGGTCCACCTGGTGTCCCCCTCTACTTCAAGTCATCACTTTCCATTGAGAAACCCTAGGTCAGCCACTGAAGCTGGAAACAGGAAAGGGTATGGGAATTCCCAAATTGTTCTCACCCTTCCCGGGATGAGATGGAGAAGCTGAAACAGTTGTCTAGTCACCAGACACTAGTAGGTCTATTGTTATGAAAAAGGCAAGACAGGACCACGGCCAAAGAGTAACCTGGCATTGCCTTATATGCACCAAAGCACTGATGGAGAGCAAACAGACATGAACTTGAAGCCCAGCCCAGTAGCTAACTCAGGATGTGACCCTGGGCAAATTATTTAGCTTCCAGAAGTCTCCATATCCTCATCTGTAGTTGGGCCTGGTGATAGCACTGACATCATGGGGTTCTTATGAAGATTTTATGAGACAGCATATGTAAGTCACTTAACATAATGCCTGGTTAAAAAACACATGATTGATTACTTAAAAATGGGACAAAGGGCACCTGGGTGGCTCAGCCGTTAAGCATCTGCCTTCAGCTCAGGTCATGGTCCCAGGGTCCTGGGATCGAGCCCCACATCGGGCTCCC